TTCTGCTAGTTCTTAGTGAGAGAGAGAGAGAGAGAGAGAGAGAGAGAGAGGGTATTTTTGGACTTTTACATTTTTCATCCACTCCATCAGTTAATTTGGTCCAATAGAAACTTGGAGGGGGCACATTGTTTAAATTAAAACCAAAGGGACCCAATTGCAACATGACCGATACTTAAAGGAGGTATTTTGTAATTATTTTTTGTTGGAATTTCAGATATTCGATGGGTTGTCTCCCAACTTAGGCCAGATCAAGCATACCCATCCAGGCCTTTAAAAAAAAACGAGGGCTTTTTGGTGGCCTATACAGTATAGTTGACTTTTGGGTTAATAGGTATAAATATGTGAAAATTGAAGGTAAGTCTTTCTAGATAGACTTATAATAACTTGAGTTCAGGAAGAAAGGAAATCTTGTGATAACTTGAGTTCAGGAAAGAAATCTATTTAGGGTCAAGTCTGTGATTAAACTTACATATATATGTACTTAAGTCTACTTTTTTTTTAAATCTTAAAATTGCCCCAGACGGTGTTAGTTTTGTCCAATTATAGAAAGTCACATAAGTTAATTTATTGAAATATATATAGAAACCGTGAATTGAGTTATTTATAGAAACCGTTGATTGAGTTATTTATGGAAACCGTTAATTGAGTTATATATGAAAACCTTTTATTAAATATTCTAATAAATCATTGGTATATTAAGTGAAATTCATATCACAAGATTTCCTTAACAATTCAAATTCAATAGTAACATAATAAAAACATATAGTAACATGATACAAGTATAGGGTGGCACTGTAACATGACGTTATATTATCAATATCTTTACTAACATATAGTAACATGATACAAAATTACCAGCGTAATTGATATAAAACAATTATCAAGAATTATATGCAAAAGTAACATGAACAATGTCACCCAATTAACTAATGTAAACAAAGTAACATCAGCTTAGTAACATTATAATGAAATTAAACTATTATGTATAATTTAATGTTCATTCCATAAATTGTAATATGGGAACTCAAAATTGTGTTAAGTTTATATTACTAAAAATGATGTTACTGAGATTCAATTAAGAAATTAATTTTACTAAGTTGATGTTACTATGTATACATCAACTAATTGGGTGGCATTGTTCATGTTACTTTTTCACATAATTTTTTATAATTGTTATATATCTATTACGCTTTGTGATTTTATATCATGTCACTATATGCTGATTAGGATATTGATAATATCACGTCATGCTATAGTGTCACCCTATGCTTGTATCATGTTACTATTGAATTTGAATTGTTGAGGAAATCTTGTGATCTGAATTTCACTTAATATACCAACGATTTATTCGTACATCAAGCTTCCATATAACTATCAGAATATATATATTTCATATAAAACTTCTGTTAATTATCAGAATATTTAATAAATGGTTTCCATATATAACTCAATCAACGGTTTCCATATATAATTCAATCAACAGTTTTCATATACACTTCAATGATCTAATCTATGTAATTTTCTATAACTATTAGACGTCGTTTGTTGTTATTCTACAAGATAGGGGTACAATAGTAAACTTGACAAAAAACAGACTTAAAACCAAAAAAGTTTCCTTGCCACAAACTTATCTCCACATAAGTCCATATATGTGACCGGCCTTCAAATTTCCCTATAAATATTGACTTTTTGGGTCTAAAAAAAGACAACATCAATACAAAAAACAATTTTGTCCATCTATTAATAGTAAGTAATATCTCAACAAGATCTCAAATTTGAGATACTAAAAATCGTAAGGCCTGTTTGGTTTGCGTTTCAAAAATTAGTATCCGAAAACAGTTTTTGAGAAGAGTTTTAAAAAAATGGTTTTGATATTTTTTGAGATAAAAAACTTGTTTTGTTAGATGATTTCAAAAACAATTTTACAATACAGAAAATAGTAAAACCTGTTTGGACAGCCTAAATAAATATTTGAATAGTAATTCAAACATTAATAAAAAAATATAAAAAAGTATATTGACAATTTCATAATATATATATATATATAAAATAAAACAGGAGTGTGTTTGAATTTTATCTCAATCATATTTTTTCCCTCAAAACCATCATCAATTACTTATCTCACCTATCATCCCTTTGTCAGACTCAAATATTAAATCGCATCACTTATTTCTATCATATATTTAATTATTTATATATTTTTTTCCTAAAAATATCACATCACTTATTTTTATCATATATTTAATTATTTAATATTTAATTAATTTGCAGTTAATATAATTTAAAAAAAATTAATATAATGGGATCAATTTTTTGGACTCTCAAATTTTATATTTAATCGTTTCTTTAAACACGGGTTATGACTAGTATATATATATTGGTATATATATTTATACGTATATATATATATATATATATATATATATATATATACATATTTATATATATATATTTATATATATACCCATATTTGAAGATTCAAAATTGTTCTCCTTATTTCTAAAATTTTCAAAGAAAACTTTGAAAACAAGTTAAACTTGTTTTCTATTTCTTTAACTCAAATTTCATTTTGTTTCCAAAATTTAGAGAACAAAAATATTAAACAAATAAGTTTTGGGTGTTTTTGAAATTTTGAGAACAAAAAACTGTTTTCGGAACACAAACCAAAGATGGCCGTATTTTCTCTCTAACGCAAATCTCTCTCTCACAAGCCTTAACAATTTTGAAATTTTTCAATACTGGAAGTTGTGTGTACCATAGTTTGTTCATGGATTAATATTTTTTAATATGGAAATAACAAAAAATAAGGGTTCAATTGTGTCACTATAGTTGTGTTATTATGGTTGAGACGAAATAGAGAGAGAGGGAGAGAGAGATTGAGGAGACTAATATATGTGCTAATTAAGATAATGGGTATTTTTGTGATTAAAAATTTTAAAAATGACAACTTGGGATCACACACCTCTGCATAGATTTGCTTAAAGCTTTAAAAATTACATGTATTGTCAAAAAAGATCACACACCTCTAATTATACTGACTTACCTCATGGTCAACTTGTTGGGCTCGTTGTGGACCATGGCCCATTGGTCCATTGAAATTTTGGGCCAGACAGTGGATTGTCAGCCGAATCAGAGGCCTTCAAGATTCGAAGGGTAGTTATTAGACCACATATACCTATTTCAACTCGGTGGCACTAAACTTACTAAACTTACCCTTCAAACGGCTCAATTCTTTGAACAACCTTAAATATGATTCACCATATGCAAATACTACATTCCTCTATTGCGAATGCATGGTGCCTCTCAAGATTCAAAGGGAAGTTAGACCACTTATACATTATGGTAAAGAACTTATTTTACAACCGAGAGTAGTTGATCCAATAGGTAAAAACTTAAATTTTCTCGCTCAATACTCTTCAAGCGGCTCGATTTTTTGAACCACCTTAAAAATGATTCACCATATGTAAATACTACATTCCTCTATTTCGAATGCAGGGTGCAATCTCATGATCAATACCCATTTGTTACATCAATTTCTTGGCAACCAAACATTCAGACTAAAATAACAAAGTACACAAAAATCCTTATACAATAATACATGGTCTCTATATTATTCCAATAGTTATACAAGGAAATGACTGTCTTTGACAACAGTAATTTCATTTATGGCTGTTTTACACATTAGGGGTAAAAAAGAATGACATATCAATTCAATACCTGCCTGAAATTCTCACAATTTATTTCTCAGAAAGAATCACCAGTACAGAATATGGGATGGCTATGAGTAATGAATCATTGAATGAGTATAAATAAATAAATCATGTTCTGGAATCCAAACAATGCAGTTGATAATGTCACTTCTCTATCCTGTTATCGTATGCGAGTCCATCTAGATATCTTGGTTACATGTAGCATTTGATGTAGGCAGGCAAATTACCAGTCAGACGATGAACCAACTCAGTTTTTTGGTTTACCATTTGTGGGGATGATATTGATTGGAAGGCCATTGGATCCTAAGCCATAGACATGGCCCATTTTGGCACGTTTTGTCTCCAGATATCTCTTGTTCTCCATTGTGATGGGAGTCACAAGGGGAACTCTTCCTGCAATTGCCAAACCATAACCCTTGAGCCCACTGTATTTTGCAGGGTTGTTTGTCATCAGCTTCATTGTTCGAACCCCAAGATCTCGAAGAATCTGCAGTAGTTTAACAATATATTAGCAACATTGTTTATTAACGGAAAGCAGAAAAAGGTGTATTATGTATTAAATATTTGAGCCAAAATGACTCCAGAGAGAACTCGAGCAAAGAAGTGGAACAATTGGAGAAAAGATTTGTATTTTTTTCCAGTACAGGGAAGGTTTGGATTTTATAAATAACTTCAATCCAGTCAAATAAGTTTATATCTGTGAAGTCGTGCTTGATTTCAAATTTTCAAGTCATGCTTAATCCAAATAACCATTTTTTCGTATCAAGGATTGCCCGTCATGTATTTTATGAATGCAATTTAAAATTTTGATGTTTTCCGTACTTGCAAAGTAATGAAAAATTCTGAAGAGGCTAAACAATAAAGCATGTAACCTTTGTTGTCTTTTATAAGACAAAGCAGTGCAACAATATACAAAAATACAGCATTCTATGTCCCTTGGGAATTTTTTCTCTTTTTTTTTTTTTTTTTTTNACCTTAAATATGATTCACCATATGCAAATACTACATTCCTCTATTGCGAATGCATGGTGCCTCTCAAGATTCAAAGGGAAGTTAGACCACTTATACATTATGGTAAAGAACTTATTTTACAACCGAGAGTAGTTGATCCAATAGGTAAAAACTTAAATTTTCTCGCTCAATACTCTTCAAGCGGCTCGATTTTTTGAACCACCTTAAAAATGATTCACCATATGTAAATACTACATTCCTCTATTTCGAATGCAGGGTGCAATCTCATGATCAATACCCATTTGTTACATCAATTTCTTGGCAACCAAACATTCAGACTAAAATAACAAAGTACACAAAAATCCTTATACAATAATACATGGTCTCTATATTATTCCAATAGTTATACAAGGAAATGACTGTCTTTGACAACAGTAATTTCATTTATGGCTGTTTTACACATTAGGGGTAAAAAAGAATGACATATCAATTCAATACCTGCCTGAAATTCTCACAATTTATTTCTCAGAAAGAATCACCAGTACAGAATATGGGATGGCTATGAGTAATGAATCATTGAATGAGTATAAATAAATAAATCATGTTCTGGAATCCAAACAATGCAGTTGATAATGTCACTTCTCTATCCTGTTATCGTATGCGAGTCCATCTAGATATCTTGGTTACATGTAGCATTTGATGTAGGCAGGCAAATTACCAGTCAGACGATGAACCAACTCAGTTTTTTGGTTTACCATTTGTGGGGATGATATTGATTGGAAGGCCATTGGATCCTAAGCCATAGACATGGCCCATTTTGGCACGTTTTGTCTCCAGATATCTCTTGTTCTCCATTGTGATGGGAGTCACAAGGGGAACTCTTCCTGCAATTGCCAAACCATAACCCTTGAGCCCACTGTATTTTGCAGGGTTGTTTGTCATCAGCTTCATTGTTCGAACCCCAAGATCTCGAAGAATCTGCAGTAGTTTAACAATATATTAGCAACATTGTTTATTAACGGAAAGCAGAAAAAGGTGTATTATGTATTAAATATTTGAGCCAAAATGACTCCAGAGAGAACTCGAGCAAAGAAGTGGAACAATTGGAGAAAAGATTTGTATTTTTTTCCAGTACAGGGAAGGTTTGGATTTTATAAATAACTTCAATCCAGTCAAATAAGTTTATATCTGTGAAGTCGTGCTTGATTTCAAATTTTCAAGTCATGCTTAATCCAAATAACCATTTTTTCGTATCAAGGATTGCCCGTCATGTATTTTATGAATGCAATTTAAAATTTTGATGTTTTCCGTACTTGCAAAGTAATGAAAAATTCTGAAGAGGCTAAACAATAAAGCATGTAACCTTTGTTGTCTTTTATAAGACAAAGCAGTGCAACAATATACAAAAATACAGCATTCTATGTCCCTTGGGAATTTTTTTTTTTTTTTTTTTTTTTTTTTTTGTGATGGCATGGGGGTGGGGGTGGGGGTGGCTAGGGTATATGTATGTAACATGCTAATGAAACATACTATCTTGTTATCCAAAGCATTTAAAATTTTATGCTTTCATCCCTGCGTGCCTTGTAAGAACAGGGAGAAGATTCATTATGTATGGCCGTGATGTGTTCCCCCACCATTGTGTAAATGAATACATGACTGAGCAATAAGAACTAAGAAGTGAAAAATATAGTAAGTATATGACTAGGCAGTACCTGTGCACCAATTCCATATTCTCTTGAATCAACAGGTAAGCCCAGCTCCTCATTCGCTTCCACAGTGTCACGCCCATCATCTTGCAAGTTATAAGCACGAAGCTTGTGGCCCAAACCGATGCCCCTTCCTTCATGACCGCGGAGGTACACCAATACACCCCTGCCAGCAGCCTCAATCTGTTGCATTGAAAGGGCCAATTGATTCCCACAATCACACCTGGCTGACCCAAAAATGTCACCTGTGAGGCATTCTGAGTGAACCCTGACCAGAACATCTTGTCCATCCCCAATCTCACCCTGTTTGCACCACAAAACTTGTCACAATTTGCTCCCAATGCCTAACAAAACAATTTTATGTGACCCAACCATATTTCTTTTGATTTTCATTTTCAAGTTTCAGTTTCAGGGCAGAAGTCAAGAGTTATCATTGTTTTATGAGGGTAATTGACCCTAGTGTGACCAAATAGAAAAAGACAACTGATAATAAACTGTCCATCTACAAAATACAAAGGGCATCCAGACATGATTGAAGCAGGACCAACCTTTCAAGTTTTACATTTAGCTCACACCAGAAATACACAGAAGGCGATATCATGTGAACCAAGACAAAACAACAATTTGAGAAAGTTACTAGAAGCGAAAGTGCAATTAAGCATTGGGTACTCTCAAATTGTCATATGGCAACTGTAGCCTCAGTTTTAAATTAGTTAAATTGGAATGCATTGCAATCAAATCCGACAATTGCCTGAAATAAAGCAATACTAACTTGAAGCATCTTGAGTAAGATTTTAGAAATGCTCACCTTGACCATTGCAATATGCTCAATCCCATCTAAGATTGACCTGTAACAGTAGGCAGTGAATGGTCCCCACGTAGTAGGTATCCGTGCAGCAGAAGCACGTTCCACTAATTTATCTCTTTTCCTCCTATATCTGCCAAAGTTAATCCACATTAGAAGGTACTCTCCTTCAAATGCTTATATTATGTGATACAATTACAACTGACCAAAAACAATGCAAATAACACCGCCAAAAAGAAAATGACAACTGAAACAAACTAAGGAAAAAAAGGACTCTCCATGGATAGAAGTGATTCTGACACATATTTTATTCGCTGACAACAAAGCAATGACATACTGGACAAAATCAGGATATTTGAAAAGTTCTACGCAACCACATCTAAAATTAGTGGGGAGCATGTGGCAGATGTCAACATATTCATGTACTAGAAGATATCATCTAATGCTATAGGACCTCGACCAACCATCCCACTCAAACTGTACGAAGACAAATAACTAATCTCACAATGCATTTTACATACCATGCTCAATTTAAAGAGTCCAGCAAGCTATGGGCTATGACATATGGGAGCAAAACAGTTATAGGCCATCATAATAAAATGAATGAAGAGTCAAAAAATATCAAATCTGCAAACAGCTTGAAGCGACCAAAAGGGTTCTGTTCCCCTCTTATTGACAGACAGTTCAAAATGGAATTAACTCTATGACCTGCATAGTATATATTAATTTACTAAGAGTCAATACATACCTTTGTAACTTTGATGATCACTATCGTAACATGTAAAGGCATGTGTAAGCAACAAAGAATATGATATTATTACAAATATGCATACACATGTCTAGACACTCAATAGTAGTAAACATGAATAGGGGTATGGTAGTTTTTTTAATAACCATAAACAGGAATATGATGGATCCATTAGCAAATGCTTCAGTGTCCAAGACTTCTGTTGGTTGCCAATGCTAATCCCAACAAAAGGGCAGCAATACTTGGTCACTTATGCTAATAACCACAAATATAAGTCTGGTGGACCTGTTAGCAAACGCTTCATAATCTACAATTCCTGATAATTGCCACAGCTAAAAACAATAAAAGACAGTAGACCACTTTTTGGTTAACATAAAACACCATATGCAATTTGAGAATGTTAACTAGAGCTAAGAGGTTCAATTGGTTACCCACTAACCCAACCACCGAATAGTCTCATTTCCTATAATGAAGCACCTAATACAACACCTTCAGAGATTGACAACTAAAACAATAAGTCACCATAACTGTGGGGTGAGCATGTGTTGGACTATAGTCACTCGTTTCTTTTTCCTTTCTTTTGTATCATTTTTTAATGCTATTCTTGAAGGTCTTAAAAAAAAGCAGCAATAAATAGGATTTCCCTACTTCCCTCTCCTATATGTGGAAAGCAAGAGTTCTGATGTGCATATGATTTAGGTTACAACATGAGGACATCCAGTTGAAAGATATTCATGCAGCTAACTGCTGATTCCACACAGTCAAATTGAAGCCAAAGCAATTCAATCCTGCTTTCAATGAACACATCATTGAATCAAGTGGTACGCTTGCACAACTTCCACATGACAAGAAAGCCTTTCTTGTTAAAGCAATGAAAATTATGCAAGAGTCCATCAGTTATAAAAACTTTGATGAAGCAAACCATATGCACACACCAAGGGATGGTAAAGTGACTCTTCCCCCAAAATAGATGTGTTTGCCCACCTGATTAAATCAGCAATGGATATAATCTTGATGCTCTCTGCCTGTGCAAATTGCCGAAGCTTTGGTAACCTAGCCATGGAACCATCATCATCCACAACCTCACATATAACTGCAACAGGGTCAAACCCAGCCAGCATGGTAAGATCGACAGAAGCTTCTGTATGTCCAGCTCTTTTTAGAACACCGCCCTCTCTGTATTTTAATGGAAATATATGGCCTGGGCGGTTAAAATCCTCAGGTTTCGAATCCTTGGATGCAAGAGCCAATATGGTTGTAGCCCTATCACGAGCTGACACCCCAGTGGTTGTGCCATGTTTTGCATCCTACAGAATATTTCACAAATGCATTCATACATAAGTATCACCGATCTCTGATTTAAATTCAGTCCACCTAGATTTTTAAAAAGTTCAACTATCATTATCTTTATCATTGATTCGACATATAAACATCACAAAACCATTTTTCTGACTCCACTCTGCTAAATGAGGTAAAAGGCTAAAGTGATCTATATGTGAACACCTCAATTACATATGCCTTCTACAAGTGGAATATTTGAAGAAGTTTTGGAGATCCCAATATACCACAAATTGGAACCAAATGTTAAGCCACTCCAATAGAAAGGGCATTAGAACTTTAAAACAAAAGAGTTTAAGCAATCAGCTACATACCACTGACACAGTGAATGCGGTACAAAGTTTCTCTTCATTATCCTTACTTGCTACCATCAAAGGTAGTTGTAATCTCTCCAAATCTTCCTCCTTCATGCTTACACAAACAATTCCAGTTCCGTGCTTCACAAAAAAAGCCATAGCCTCTGGTGTAACCATTGATGCTGCCATAATTAAATCTCCTTCATTTTCTCGGTCTTCATCATCTACAACCAATACTATCTGCAACATCATCCAAAAGAGAAATGGTTCAGAAAACGTCTAAAGAATAATAGAACTACTTCAGTTTTATAATATAAGACACTACAAACCTTTCCTTTGCGAATATCTTCAATGGCTTCTGGAACGGATGAGAAACCTTCCGTGGGCCAGTCCAGATCAAACTCATCATTCTCCGTAAGGAAGCCACTAGAGTTAGGAGCATTATCTGCTGAAAGCGTTCCAAATGCGATTGAATCAGGCTGTGCTTCAATCCCCGTGGAGGGATCACCCAGGAGAGCATTGTTCCCCACAACATTAGCACCAGTGTAACGAGACAGGAGGTCACCTTCTTCAGATAACAAGGCTGATTTAATTCTACCATTACCCTTAATACTGAAGCATGATTTGCCACTTGGACGGATGAAGGAATCCAACGTACACTCATTTCTGGAAAATAGATTTACGCGGTGCAGTCCATTGAACAATTTGAAGCTTTTCAACCCTCTGTGTTATTGTGAAGGTCAGGAAGGCAATTCTCTTATGGAAGAATATAGGTGGAAGAATCATTGAACATAGTTTCAAATTTAAGAATCATCAAACATATTTACAAATTCTCAATTGGGACCACGATATGCTTAATTAAACATGTAATAAAAAGTGCTAACGGTGTATATGTCATAAAACCTTTTAACAGCTCAAATGCAAAGATACCAAAATCAGACCATATTCGGCATGGCATGCGCATGTCAAAACTTGTTGAATAGTATCGAGTATCGACACCACGCATAATGCAATATGAGACAATTCCAATCAAAGTTCCGCCTAATACACGAAAAGAGCAGATTCTCATTAGGTTACAGGCAGCATGGACCCTTACGACACCTTGGACATGTTTTTATCTGTTGTCAGGTAATATTGATGGACAACTATTAGTGACCTCTACTTTATTAAAGAACATGATCCTAGAAGAATATACACAGCTGAACCCAAATGGTCTGAAAAGACCTCTTCTCAAAGTAGGTTCCAGACACCCTTTAAGGAGATAAAGACCATGACTTATAACGATTCTTTTAGTGAATAAATGACATTGACATGGTGCAAAAACGTTCTTTAAAGCTTTTTCTTGATTAGCCCACTTAGATAACATTTTCTCATGTCAGCATGAGAAGCATTAAGTCAATAATTCCTTAAAAAGAAATGTCTAGAATTATAAACAGAATCAAGACAAATTTATCTTTGCAAAGGACCCCATCAAGCAACAAAACTAAGAATCCATTCAAAACCCAACTTATCATATTTGCATATTACTACTTTTCAGCTCATATCTTCACAAAATTTAAAGATTTGTAAGCCTTTGGATCTACCCAAAAAAAAGAAGCAACACGAATAATTGTTCATTTACAAGTCCCAAAACAATGGATTTGAATAACAGAATATCAACAGACAAATCCACACAAATAAAGACGTAGGAAAGAGAAGAATGCTTACTGTGAACGTCGCAGAGCTGTTGAAGGGCAAGAGAGATTGATGGAAGCCATTTTGTTAATGCTTACAACGGTTCAATCTGTCAAAAGGACTCAAATCTTAGCACACACAACTGGGTCTTGGCCTTCGTCTCTCTCTCTCTCGCCCCTTAAGAAGGAGAAGGACGAAAGCCAATTCAACGAAGAATTCAAGCAAAAAAAAAATTCAACGAAGAAAGGCGAAACAACTCGGAAAAGGATGAGAGAAGAAGATACTGTAACCAATTGGTGGTAAACATGTGTGACAGACCAATAAAGCTTTATTTTCAATGTTTTTGGTAGGTCAAAATAATAGAATAAGATTAAATTACCTCTACATAATTGAAATGAAATTTAAAAAATTATAATTTAAACGTATATCATCTTTTGAATGAATACATCTCATTAATTTTTTCAGAGGGATCCACTCATCAAACAATCATGTAATAGATAATATACATTTTAGTTGTAATTTTTAAATTATATAACATTTTTCTTTAGGTACTATGTTGAAAAATAATACGAAATAATAAATTTTAGTTGAAGTTATTTATAATCATTGATTATAAAAATAATAGCATAATAAATTTTTTTATGTGTCATCTTGTGATTGGACAAAAAATGAATGTACTTTTTTCAATACCAAACTCTAACCTGAAATAAAAACTACAGCTAGACCTTGACATAATGGGTAAGTTGTTTGTAAGTTGTCTCAAATTAAAAATAACAAATTACCTAGTAGGTCTATGCTTAAAGATTCTTATACAGGTCTCACCCTATTCAAAAATTTAATGGCATCCAGAGCTGTTTGTTTGTTATTAAACTTTGACGATTGGAAAATTTAGAAGATAATACCTTTATTCGAATCGGAGAGTGGATTAATTGANTTTTCAGCTCATATCTTCACAAAATTTAAAGATTTGTAAGCCTTTGGATCTACCCAAAAAAAAGAAGCAACACGAATAATTGTTCATTTACAAGTCCCAAAACAATGGATTTGAATAACAGAATATCAACAGACAAATCCACACAAATAAAGACGTAGGAAAGAGAAGAATGCTTACTGTGAACGTCGCAGAGCTGTTGAAGGGCAAGAGAGATTGATGGAAGCCATTTTGTTAATGCTTACAACGGTTCAATCTGTCAAAAGGACTCAAATCTTAGCACACACAACTGGGTCTTGGCCTTCGTCTCTCTCTCTCTCGCCCCTTAAGAAGGAGAAGGACGAAAGCCAATTCAACGAAGAATTCAAGCAAAAAAAAAATTCAACGAAGAAAGGCGAAACAACTCGGAAAAGGATGAGAGAAGAAGATACTGTAACCAATTGGTGGTAAACATGTGTGACAGACCAATAAAGCTTTATTTTCAATGTTTTTGGTAGGTCAAAATAATAGAATAAGATTAAATTACCTCTACATAATTGAAATGAAATTTAAAAAATTATAATTTAAACGTATATCATCTTTTGAATGAATACATCTCATTAATTTTTTCAGAGGGATCCACTCATCAAACAATCATGTAATAGATAATATACATTTTAGTTGTAATTTTTAAATTATATAACATTTTTCTTTAGGTACTATGTTGAAAAATAATACGAAATAATAAATTTTAGTTGAAGTTATTTATAATCATTGATTATAAAAATAATAGCATAATAAATTTTTTTATGTGTCATCTTGTGATTGGACAAAAAATGAATGTACTTTTTTCAATACCAAACTCTAACCTGAAATAAAAACTACAGCTAGACCTTGACATAATGGGTAAGTTGTTTGTAAGTTGTCTCAAATTAAAAATAACAAATTACCTAGTAGGTCTATGCTTAAAGATTCTTATACAGGTCTCACCCTATTCAAAAATTTAATGGCATCCAGAGCTGTTTGTTTGTTATTAAACTTTGACGATTGGAAAATTTAGAAGATAATACCTTTATTCGAATCGGAGAGTGGATTAATTGAAATGCATATAAGTTGATTTAAACACATCAGATCATTGAACTTAAAAAAAAAAAAAAGATGATACCTCGCATGAAAATGGGTTTCCTTTTATGTGAGTGCGTGAGGTAGGATAAAATATATAAAGTCTTGGCATGGAAAGTGTAAGTTTAACATTTTTAATTAGGGCTGTCACGTGTTTGTATGATTCGCATGTCGTGTTATTCGTGTCATGCTCGTATTAAAATCCACAAAAAAATCTAATTAATGTGTTTTGAGTATTATATATTAGTTTAAATTATTTATTATACGTAATTAATAAGTGTGTCAATTTTATAATCTTTCGTGTTGGGTTTGTATTATCATGTTAGAATTGACACCCCTATTTTTTATTGGGTTGATATAAATTGGGAGTGGACTTGATCATTGATGAGGTGGATGTATAATAGGGTGGAAGTAGCAATTATGTTTTGATTCTTTTCAAGATATTAGAGAATTTTAATTGGGTGAGAATGGGCATTTTGAGAATGAAATTGTCCACCTAAGAGAATAATTTTTGACACGACATGTTAATTTGATACGAATAAAATACAAAGATAAGACTACAATACCCGGGAAAAAAAAAGTAGTATTGTACTGCCAAATTTTATAATTTTTGTAAATATTAATAAAATTTAAATGGATATTAGAATCAATCGCAAAGTACTGCAACAGTTATTAAAATAATTAACCACAAAGCTGATAAAAACTTCCACAAAAAATATAAAAAGACCTACGAACCTGTAAATGCCAGTTACCGATGGTGATGGGACCAAGTCCACCAGCCACCCAAGAAAAAAAAACACACAATAATCTAGATAAACGTGTAATAGCATGGGCCAACCAGAGGCAGCTTCAATCCAACCAATAATAATAATAATAATTAATCATAATCATTAAATTAAAAAATAGTAATGCTACATTGATCAAAATTAAAGACTAAATAAAGAGTTCAAATGACATGACAATTATTAATATGACAAGATCAACTGTGTCATATCAACGAAATTTTTTCGTCCTCTTCAAATCAATGACAAATAGGACAAAATCTTTTTGTCTTTTTTGTTTTTCGAACACGCACAAACAAAAAAAAATAACATAACAATTAATCTTGTCATATGAGTAACTGTCATGTCATTTGAACTCTTTATTTGATCCTTAATTTTGACCAACATAACATTATTAATTAAAAAAATATTATTTAAACCTTACTTGGTGAGTCATATTTGAGCGTTGGATTGGATCAGACACTTCCTTTCTATGCTTTCTGGGTTGTGTGTTTAGTTCGTTTTCGTTTCGCACCCAGCCATGCCCCTTTGACTTTTGACTTTTTCCTTTTGACCCACATGCGCCTATATCTATCCATTTACAAAGTTATTGACCGGTCAATCTGTGGCCTTCAAATTTGACCATTCTCTTGCTCAATGTCTAGCCGTCCATGGGTTAACCACGTATAGACGGTAAGTCGAGGTTTTCCCCAAATTCATGCTCCACAAAACTTAATTTTTAAAATCAGTCAATTTTAAATTTAATTCTCAAACTCAATTTTTTTTTAAAAACGTTATTTAAAATGATGTCTTCTCACCTGAAAACATCATTTAAAATGACGATTTAAAGTTTAAATTTTTTTTCTTGAAAACTTCATTCCAAATGACGTTTTTAAGTCGGCATTCAAAGTGACATTTTTAAACATGATTTTTTTAAACGGCACTAACAGACATTAAGAATTATAAAAGGGTTGAAAATGTCATTTCAAATGACGTTTTCAACCCTTTTGTAATTCTTAATGATGTTTCTATTCCTTAACTTTTTACAATGACATTTTCTTCCAACCCAATTTGGAGGTAAAATTCAGGATTAACAATGAAATTTACCATATTTTTTTTATAAAATATTATAAATGCATCAAATATATTTTAATTTTACAAATGCATCGATATTCTAATCAATTTTAATATGATCGTAAATTGTTTTTCTACTTACAATAATATTTTCAAATATCAAACACCGGTCATTAAGTGATAGGTTTTCTGCCTTTTTTTTTTGAATAAAATGTTAAATGTTTGTTTAATAAAAAATCCTAACAATGATACCTAAAATTATTTTGCTCATGTTCTTTTTGAGAGGATGAGTTTTTATTTATTTATTTAAAAATTTAATTACATTCAATAAATAAATTGTGATAATTTTAAAATGCTTGTATTTTATTTGTAATGTTGATCATGTCAACATTAATGCTTAATTAATTTTAGAAAAATATAAGTTATTCAGAACGTATATATGTAAAAAAAGGATGTCAATAACGAGGTTGATATTCAAAACAACATAAAAGATTATCGAGTATACATAAACATGATGGGATAAAAGTGTCCAACGCATCATTATCCAAATTAGAGAAATCAGAAAGTTTAAGATCACAAACTAGTAACGGATCCTCTAAAATTTCAATTTCGGCATATTCAGGATCAAAATATTCTATTTTTATATAATCGAGTACATGAAAATGATCTAGACAACGCTGCATTTGATCAATTTCACATTCAAGGATTGATATGATCTCGTCATGATTGTTTGAATTCTGTGAATTGTAAATATCAGTCGAACGTGCCTTTAGTACCGCAATTCTATGCCAACGACAAAATACTTCAAGATCACAACGTTTGTCATATAACTGTCGTCATCTTGGTGTGGGTTCGATATGAGCACCTGAAGGTGGATAATTAGTTGCAGGGCCAACAATTACATGCCTAGCTTGTCCAAATGAGTGATAAGAGTCGATGGGCTCATTACGGAATGCACGTTTTCGTCCATACCATGTTACACCACTGGAGTCGGTATATGATTCGATAGAAGGAACTTTGTTCAACAATGTTGAGTTGTCCGTTGAGCGTTCACGTTTGTTACCTAAAGATGAATTGTTTTGGTCATTGCGTGAAGAAGAACTCACATGTGATGTGCTCCTATACATTTTGTTTGGTGGTGATGCATTTACACAATTGTGAATGGTAGTATATATATGTTGGGTTCGACAATTAAAAATTACAGTGAAAGGATATGAATCTGCATACTTTGGAACTGATTTGACAATGAAAAAGGTAGGATATGACAACACACTGCATAGATTGATAAAATCACGTGATAAATTAAAGTAAATAGGACATTACACTACAAAGTTGAGAACTGATTTGACAATGAT